CAATAAGGACTCGAGAAAAAGTTGCTCACTGCATGTTTGTCTTTTGAGCAGCAATAGTTACAGTTTGGGTTTTACCAGGTGAGGGTAAGTCTGCGTACAGCTAGCTCCCGGTGACTTCTGCTGTCAATAGGAGCTATTGCATTAGCAGCTTTCAGAGCAGACTAGGAAACTTGTCAGCTTGAGCTGAAAACTTCTTAATGTTCAATTGCTGTACAATTTGCACTGAGACTGTGCTTTACTAAGCAGACGTAATACAGTTTGCAATTGGCGTCAGAATATACTGAGACAATTAACGATGAACGATAAATTATGCTAAAGGCTTTATCAGATTGCACGGTATCTTGTAGGCTTCCTCTTGGTGTGCTGCTCAGTGTATATTTGATGGGCAAGAATTTATTTATAGCTGCATTTTTTCCACATCAATCTCTAAATGTCCTCTCCTTTCTTTTGTCTTCTGTTGGGCTTTGAGATCACTTGCTCATCACCAGACTTCTTATTATCCTTATTAATGACAGCATTATTTATATTTACATTTAGGCTGTAGTTCTGGCTCTTCCCTCTGTCTTGTTTTGTCTTTTCCTGATATGCTTCCCCTTCTGGGCTTGGAAGAGCCTTCCAGTCAGCCTCAGCCAAACTTAATTTCTTTCTCACTTAAGCCTGACCCTCCTGTTCTGTGAGTCTGTAGCTTCTACTTGTGCATTTCTAAGGAGAAAAATCAGGAACTGCTGTAATCGAACATAGTGCCAGGTATAATACACACCAAAGTATTTCACAGCATTATCTGAAATAGAAGCTATATTCTAGGGAGGAGTCAAAGATTTCTTTAAAAAAAAAAGACATCGTTGTGGATATTTTTTTCTTGAAAACGTTGTAACCGTTCTCTAATACAGAGTGGGTGCCTTATTTCCAATGTGAACCTCATCTTCTGGCCACTAGATTATGGGAGATGTTCGTCTTGCAAATTGTTCAATTTCTTTGTGTACATAGAGCACAAATCTATACTGAAACTACCTTTAAGCAGAGATCCAGCTGTGTTCAGGTGTACTCTTAACTTCTGCAGTTACTCTTAAACTAGTTTGGAAGCTGGCTCAGAAACTGGCCGTATCAGGCATCATGCTGGAGTTCTGAAACAGGATGATGGGTTTGTAAAGCAAATGCTCTTGTGTAGATTGGAGCTTGGTTCCAGTTCAGCTGAATTAGTTTCCAGTTAATTTCTAGCAGTTAACGTATTGCTGGATCAGGGACAGGCCGCTTGGTGCAAAACAGTCGGTTTTCCCCTTAGGCTAAGGATGAGGCTCCGACCTACTAATCTCTTGTTCGAGTGTAACGCAGTTAGTGTAAGTGAAAAAATTTGTTTACATCCTAAGGGAGTGGAGGTCTTACCCAAGTAAGTGTGTCACCCGCTTAACTGGGATCCTTGGGAACGACTGCATTTCGGCATCAGCCTGATAAATTCGATGCAGTATCTGCCTTCTAGCAGAAAGCGTTTCCCTCAATAGTGAAATTCCCATGACTTCTGCTTCCAAAGTAGGTTCATGCTTAGCTATGGGTTTCTGTTTGGGGATCTGGGTATTCCGTTGCTCCATGCCAGGCTTCCTGAGCCAGAATGCCAGAAGATTTTGAACCCGGCATGAAGCAGTGTGTGGAAATGCAACTTGGCTTCGTTCTTCGTATCCCGGGGTGTTGTGCTTTACGAAGTTGGAATTGAGTCGGGAGTCAGTACCTACCTCCCAAATTTACTGATCTGTGAGGTGGAAAAATCACAACTTTATTGTGTTGTGGTGCCAGTAGCAAAATGTTTTTCCCTGCACAAACAAAGTGGGGGATGATCCAAGTAACACTTTCTTCAACAGGACAGTGGCTCTTGGGTTGCTTTTCTGCTCTTTCCTGAACTAAGTGTTTTGCTGATAGCCATTTTGCTGTTCTTTCTGTAGAAGACTGGCATGTTCCTCCACGTCTTTGAACATTTCAACGTGAAAGTGTGTTTTTTTTTTAAAAAAAATGTGCTTAAAAAGTGGCAGGCTGGACTGGGAGCAGATATAGTATGGGTGTGAATCAGCCCTTTCACAATGAAGGCTGGTTCTGTGCGTGTCCTCTTGTCTGTCTAACCCCCCACCCCCTTTTCTGGGTTAAATACAACCTCTAACTTGGCTAAATACAGGATTTTTTTGACCGAATGAATTTGAGCACCATATGATCTGCCTCCTCATGTTCCCTGAGCCCTTTGCAGGAGAAGGGAAATGTTTTTGAACAAAGTCTGCTAACAGAGTTGTGGGTGGAAAGAGGACAAAACGAGTACGTGAAGAACCACATATTTTCACTGGACTTCTAAAACAAGTGACAGTTTGTTCTCCAGATAAAGGCACATTTGAGAGCAAAAACCTGAACAGTGAAAGTGGAGGGGTTTTTTTGGTGGTTTTTTTCTTAGGTGTCACAAAAATTCCTGTCCAAAATAAGAAGCATCGAGGCTTGTAAGCACGTATTTTTAAAATATGAATACGTGACAGGCTGAATCCCAGGTGAGTCCTCGTAATGCGCAACAGAGGATCCCTTTCTTAGGCACCAGAACCTAAAGGTGAGATTTCGGCGAAGGGGAGCGTACTCTTACACCTGGGGTTTTACAGTTTCCTTCAGTAGAGATAATCTTGCTCCCATTCAGGAAGTCCGACATATGTCAGAACAACCTGAGTTACGGCTGGGTGAAACCTTTGGCTAACTAGTGAAGACCCATGTCAAAACTCGCCGAAGATGAGTGTGTTTCTGTGCTCGGACAGGGTAAAGGAAGGTTGAACACTGAGAATATTCTTGTACAAAATGTTGGGGGGATGTTATGCAACTTCATTTCCGTATTTTTTCTTTTTCTGTGTTTTTTTTTTTTTTTTGTGTTTTTTTTTTTTTTTTGTGTTTTTTTTTTTTTTTTGTGTTTTTTTTTTTTTTTTGTGTTTTTTTTTTTTTTTTGTGTTTTTTTTTTTTTTTTGTGTTTTTTTTTTTTTTTTGTGTTTTTTTTTTTTTCTATTTTGTTAGCATTTGCTGTGTTAAGATCGTATCTTCTGCAAATACCTTGGACCAAGCAAAGTTTTTTTGGGAAGAGGAAGCTGGAGGTGCCATTCAGGGCAGCCAGGGAGCAGGTCTAATCGCTTGCTGCTGGCAAAAGGGGTTTCACAAATGTTCTCCCTCCTTTTCCTCTTCCTTGGCTCTGAAACTCATCTGTTCGGAGGTTATGCTCGCTACCAACCAAATGTAGCTTTTTTTCTCCCTGCCTTGGTTTATTTTTTTGTTGGGTTTCGGGGGTGGCTTGGTGTACACCATGAGCGCTGACACTGGTGGGCCAGAGAAGGTGGAAAGTGTGCGGCTGGGCAGAGTGGGGAACAGCGACTCTCCTGGCTGCAGCGAGCCGTTAGATGAACGCGGCACACGCCGTTTCCCACAAACTAAGGGACACTGCGCACCCACGGCATTGTTTCCTGTGCAGTTTGAATTGTGCAAAACAAGCCTTTCCATGTGGTGTTCGATTTCGAACCTTGCAGCCTCGTTGCTTTCATGTGAAAATCCAAAAGTAACATACTTTGCTAAGCAAAAACCTATCTGCATGATTGTTTTGGCCAAGAAATTCAAATAGGAGAGCTAATAAAATAAGTTTTAAAGGGGGAGAAGTTTTTTGTCAACCCGAACCTTAAGGATGAAAAGAAAAAAACAAAAACCTCCATTGTGTTTTTCCGCTTGCTTCAAGAATTTACAAGGTGGAACTTGTAATTTCCCCAGTGACCAAATTCATGAGAGTAAGTTTCTCAACTTTTACTGTTCTTCAGATACAAAAATGTTTTGATTCTCTTATGGTTTTTTTGGTTGCAAGTTAGGAAGAATGAACTTTCAGCTTTTCTAAACTAGCCGAGTTAGTGCTGAGATGTTCTTTCCCTGTAACCTTACTGTTCAAAGACAACACTGGAGTTTGTGCTTTGCGGTCGTGCCTGCTGTTCTCATTCTTTAAGAACTTCCCACGGCTGCTGACATTGCTTTGTGTCCATAGCTGTAAAAATCCTATTAGCTGACTATCCAGTCATTAAACCATAGAAGCCCAAATTTGAAGGGGCTAAATAGCACAGACCTGGAAAATAGGCTTAGACATCCCGTACTGGAGCAATAAAAATATAGTTCTGAGAAGACTGTCTTCAGTCCAGATGCAAACACAAAGAGTACAGTACCCAACATATCATGAAAACGGGACCTTGCACAAGAGGCGTGTTACTAGTCATTGATTCTGTTTATTCCTGGGTGCAATTCAAAGAGGTGGTTTGCTCTATAAAGTGTGGTTTGTCATGCAAGATGATGTCATTCACACCCTGATTGGGAGAGAGACTAAGCGTGATGTTTCTAGGGAAGGCTCTAAGATGTTCCAGTTTTGTACACAGTGAAGAAGTGACTTATTGTCAGAATTCAGCCTCATTTGTTCTCTATTTAATAATTTCCACTTTTTTCTTTCAGGGTGGTGTCATCCCTTACTGTATTAGTTTTTTCTTGCTAGTCGTCTGCATCGAGTTTATAAGAACTGAAAAAGAGAGTCTAATTTTATCAAGCTTGTTGCCTTCAGCTTGTGAGTCCTGGCAGCCCCCTGCTTTTTCCATTTCCCCCCTCCGGCTTCTCCAGTACTCAGTACTAAAACAGCTGTAGCGTCAGTATCTACTTAAAAACCTTCCAAGAATCCTGTGTATGTACGCTTTACATTTTGGCTTGTTAAATAACTTCTCGGTTACTTGTGAACACAGGGATTTTACTGCCCACTTTGAGGATCTGCACCCCTGTAAGGCTCATGCGTGTGAGGTGTGCATCGTTGCCTCCGCTTTCCTGCAGCAAAGGCTTCAGCGGCTGACTCTGATCCTGACCATCACTGCTTCCCCTGCCAATAAATTCCTTGGACTTGTATATTAAGTGATTATAAAGTACACTTAGCTGTGAATCAATTCTTCTAGTTTAAACTAATGCGTTTAACTCTTTTTCTCTAGGCTCTGTTTTGGATATTATAAAGCACATTGTGGCCAAAGGAGAACACAAGACCGGTGTCCTGGATGAACCCTGTATAGCCACGATCCTTAAGGAGGTGCTGGAGGGGCTGGACTACCTGCATAAAAATGGACAAATCCACAGGTATTTTTCATTTTTCTCATCTTTGTCCCAAAATGCGTGTCGCTGAAACAGAGCAGCTGAGCACATGCAGTCTCATCCTACAACCAGCTGTGAGGGCATGGAAAGAGGAAAATAAAGGTGGGAGCTTAATCAAAACTTGGAATTCAAATGTCTAATAGAGTAGCTGCTGCTTTAGGAAATACTATGACTAGACCAAGTTTGGGTAAACTTTGGGGTATCGAAAGTTCTGATATGGAGAACCTCTTTCCAAATGTCAACATCCAGCTGCAAAGTGTAGTTGTTGGAGCTGGAAAACTTCCCCTGGTTTTGTCCCTTGCAGAGCTACAAATCACCAAGAGCACTGCAAAAGAAGTGTTGGGCAATTTAATAAGGAGCCCTTCAAGCCCTGTTCATAATATTTTTTTTTTTTTTTAAGGCTAGCTGCAAGATCAACATAATGAAATTTGAATTTGTGTAATTTCATTAAAAAAAAAAAGATGGAAACAAAATTAGTGGAAAAACTTCTTCTGTAGGCAAAACCCAGTTAACTAATGGCCTGTGATTTGATGGATCACTGAAATGTGTGGGTTTCTGTGCTGCTATGTTGTTTGGGAGGTATTTTTAAATCATGTTTTTCTCTCCCCTGGTGTCAAGGTGTGGTGTAGCTCAGGAAGAGAGGATACTAAGTCAGTATGTTCTGCTGTTAAAAAGAATGAGATTTGCAATCCTAAATATGGGCTGAAAATAGAATATACCGCTTGTGGGTAATATACATCATCCCAGCCACAGGCTGCTGCTGGGAACAACAGCCTCTTCTTTCTTGGGAATTTTGCGAGCTTGACTGTCTTCTGGTACAATGCCATTATAAGCATTGCTGCTGCTGTGCTGGACTAAGTTTCTGTCCTCTTAGGATAGGTGTGTAAGAAGAGGTAACTTTTTGCCAAAATGTTATTTTAATTAGAAAATCCAAGAAGTATTTATTTCATATTTTTGGTCAAACCGAGTGGCTTTTGTAGGTTGTTTTGGGTTAAAAAGAAAGAAATGGTTGGAAACAATTCTGGTGGAATTCTTTTCCCTGAAAGAACTCTCAAATTTCGGTTTCCAGTCTCTATTAAAATTCTGATTTAACAAGAATGGTTGTCTTCTTTGAAGCTGGTTTTGATTTCACAGCTGCTGCTTAACTTTGTTTTTTAGAGATAAGACTTCAGGCAGCTCTGGGAAGTTAAAGTAACAGACCAACTTACTGAGTACATGGTAATCTTTCACCCTTGCCATAAGTAATTTAGGAAACCATGCTCATTTATGACTTGCAGTTGATTTGCTTGACTGATTTTGTTCATCTTCTGGTCTAATGAAATTGAAATATATACGTTAAAGCAGTAGTAACCTGTTAAATTTCAGTTTTTGTGAAGATGTCACATAGTCATTTCTGTATTGAAAGAGAAGTGGCTCTCCGTTTGACTTGCTGTAGTGAAGCAGCAAAACTAGTAATTGTGGTAAAGGTTATAGAGGATATATTCATGTGTGTGTTGGTTTTTTTTTTTTTTTTACTTCACTCAGCAAAAATACAGTGTTCACAGAAAGTTCAAACTGCTTGGACTAAAGAAACTGTGATTCATGTTGAATCATTCGGAAGCAGACCGAACCAAACCTGCTGCAACCATTCTTGTCCTGCTTGTTTGAAGCATTTTGCCCTTATTTAGGGGACTTCAGCAAAGAAATCAAAGCTGTGTCATTGCCGCAGCTTAAGGTTGCCGTTGTGCGTCAGCTACTTTGCATGTCTTGCATCCCTGTATTTTGGGGCTGCTCCAACAATTGCGTGATGTTTTATCAGAAAAAAAGCGTGTGGATTACCTCATTGCATTGGGGCACGGCGGTCCGGGAAATTTGGAGAAGTGGTAATAGTCACGATGCAGAAGGAAGGTTGTGTAGTTTCCCATCTGTGATGCAAAGGATGAGTTTTTAACTGTTGGCAGAAAGCAAGGTTATACACCTTTGAGGGATGAAACATGTCTCCTCAATGGGGTTAATCGTGCTGTCTTGCATTGTATCCAGATGCGCGTACACTGCTGAGAAAAACAGAGTATAAAGTTGTAGTGCAGATGGGACCTTTCCTCATACACAGGAATATCGGTATGGTTTTCCCATTTTGCTTAATGCTAGGGGTCATAATATTGGTCATGCCTGATGGGAAAGGCAGGTGGAAATCTTGCAGTCGTGCCAGAGATGCTCTGAGAGGAAGTGTTTAAAATAACTGAACTTTGGTCCCCTGGGTCTGCTTAAAGTATCTTGCTCTAAAGGAAACCGACTGTATCAGTTGATGGCCGAACCGCAAAAAACGCTGAACATGGTGTCTGCGACGTGGGTGAGCTTCAGGCCAAAACAAGGTCAGCTGTGAAGGGTCAAAACTGAAGGGCTTTGGTTAGACCTGGAAGAACAACCTAAAGCAAGCAGCCATCCAGCCAAGCAAAGACTTCAGCTGGTTACACTAAAGTATCCCAACTGCATTTGTATTACAGCAGAAAACGACTTCACAAAGTTAGAGACGCAGTATGGGTGAAATGAATGTAATTAGCACGTCTGAAGTTGGACAACGAGGCTGGTGGCAAAGCTGGAAGGATGAATATCTGGACCCAAATCTAATTTTGTGGGCGCTGTTGACCTGAAGTGGGGACAGCTTGTTACTGCTGTAAATAATCAGTGAGATCAGAGAATATATGCCTGACAGCGGATTTGCTCAATACTTTTAAATTATGCATCATCTTAAATGCGTAAATTAAGTTAACACGTGGACGACTGACTTAATGAAATTCTGCTGCTGCTGAATCTTACTCTGCGTTAGCCCGCCTTGAACTTAATGCCCCTTCCAGTTAAGGTCTGGGGAGCTGGCTTCGCGTGGAAGTGTAAATCCCTGCTTTGGACAGGAGAGTAGCTTGAGAGTGTTCTCTGGAGGAGATTAGAAAGCAAAATATCTAGTGAAGGCTTAAATTATAATTTTTGCTTACTTTCCTGATTAACAGCCAGAGCAAGGCCGAGACTTGAATAGATGCCATTGTTCGGCAACAAATGCTTAAGTCTCCCACGTTGTCCAATGTGATATTTTTTGCTTTCGTCTTGCAAGGGCTGTTGGGAGCAGTGTCTGAGGCCTTACGGAAAAGACAAAGGAGAAAGCAGAATCAGTTTTATTTTCATGAAACATCATACCAAGGTAGCGATTACAAATGATCCCTGTCTTCCTCCAAAATCCCCACCGCCTCCCGTATCTCGGAGTTGGCAGCTCTCTGCCTTCCTCGCCGTGTGCCTGTCCCTGGCTGCCTCTCCCGTGCCAGCTGCCGCCGTCCCCGTTGTGGTTTCCGTGTAGCACGGTGATCCCCATGACAATTTGAAATCCTAGTGATCCGGCTCATGTTAAGTGAGTTAAATATCTGGGCACCAGCAGGTGTGCTGAGGACAGAGGGCCAGACTCGGAAACCTTTGGATCAAGCTGTCCTGCAGGAATTTTTTTATGGAAGCCAAGCAAGACTGATGTGCTGCGAGGGGTTGCTCCCGGGCTGATCTTGTCTGGGTGACACACAGGGTATGGTGCACCTTTTCCTCATTTGGACTCCGATTCCTCTATGTATTTGGGGATTAGCAGGAGTTTGATGATTGATTTGGAAATTAAAACTAAAGCCAAACCAACCCAAGAGGTTTTATTGCTTAAAGAGACTTGTTGGAGGGAGTTTCAAGGCTTTTTCAAGGGGTGCTCTTTATGGCAGTCTGACAAAGGAATCACGCTGATTAACCGTTACAAGGTGTCTCTGCCTTTCTTCCTATTTTTATCTCTGAGCTTATCTTCTGTTCATGATTAGCTGTTGTGTAACTGAATATTTCAGTCCAGGTGGAATGATACACTGCTCAAATATGATCAGATTCTCCTATTGCAGCATAAATAAATGTGATACTCACATGGTTTTTTGTAAAAACAAAAAAGCTTAGGAAGTGGTTTAGGGTTGCATGCGCTTGAAATATTGGCATGGCAGTGACCCAGCTATTAATATGCTGCTCTACTTAAGGGGTGAGAGGTGCAACAGCACATTGATATGCTGAGTTAGATCAGCTTGTGCCCCCATACAGAATATTTTGGGTGGGTTTTTTTTTTTTGGTGTCTTTTAGAAATCAGTTCTCTGAGTGTGGGGCAGCAGGGTGCCGTGGCAGCTGTTCGAATCTTGCTTTGAAGAGACCGTGGAAACAGTGTTCTTCCTGCGGTTTTGTGCCGAAATATATTAGCTTATTTCTTGGACCTTAGGATGGCTTTGACGCAGGATCAAAGCTTAATTGTCTGCCTCTTTTACCTGTATAAAGACAAAATAATTTCTGAAAAAAGGATGTCTGTCTGTGAGCACAGACACATCACCAACGCTTGTCTGTGGGGTTTTGCAGGAGCGCTCCTCCAGTAGCGAGATTTGGATTTAAGATGAAGGAGCTGATGGATATACTTTGGCAGGACTCAGCTGCCCTACAGGATTCAAGCTTAATTTTCATGTAGCTGATTAATGCATTTGATAGCCGTGCTGGCAGGTTTTGTGGTTAAACTGGATTCTAGTATGCCTCTGATTATTTTGACGACTGAAATACTGTACTTTTTTGTTTCTGTAGCGATACTGTAGGAGAACTTCACAGCCCTCCTCTCCACAGTGCTATAATCTTGTTTTGGGGAGTGTGTTTTGGAACTGAAGTTTGGTAGGGGAGCATTGTGGGATGGATAATGGGATGTGGAGCCTTTCACCTCTAATTGTCAGTTTGATTTTAAGTCAGGACACCAGTAATTTGAAAGCCAGCTATTGCTCAGCCATGGGAAGTGGAATTTTGTGTTCAGAGAAGTGCACTTTAGTCTCTTCTTCCTTACAGTACAGGATGGGCAGAATTGACCTTTAGAGGTGGTTGTTAATATAAATTTTAAACCTTTAATTTGTAAATAGTTCAGTAGCCAGAATAATAGAAACGTTACTCTTGGGTGTCTCGGTGGGAAAGAAGAAAAG